CAACTGATAAGTGGCTGCTGCGGTATGTACTGGGGTGTCAATCATCAGTCTAATTACATACATAGTGCATGTCATCACTAATTAAGATTTTTTATAGTGTACAGCAGATCAACGACAGTTTAATAGTAGAAACATAGAAAGTTCAAGCTGCAATAACTCTTGAACCAGCAAACCCACACAAATATAATTATATTTGTCGGGTTTGTCATAATGTGCTCTTTAACGTGACAATGCTTTTCTTTTTATTTTTTATTGTCTGGAATGTAGCAAAGGGATTAATATAATACAAAAATTCTCGGTTTGATTTATTATTAATAAAAATATCAAAAATGTAACAATTACATATTATATCACAATAAGCACAGAAAAATTCTAAGTTATGTTTTTGACATTTTTATTAATGATAAATCAAAACCGAGAATTTTTGTATTACATTATTCCCCTCGCCACAATCCAGACAATAAAAAATAAAAAAAAAGAGAGTTGTCTCATTAAAGTGCATATTATGACAAACCCGACAAATATAATTTTATTTGTGTGGGTTTGCTGGTTCAAGAATTAATGCAACTTGAACTTTCTATGTTTCTACTATTAAATTATTGTTGTTCTGCAGTATACTATAAAAAATCCTAATTAATGTGGCAGATTATAATGAAATCCAGATTAAAATGAAATTATAGTATAAAATCTTGAAAAATAAAATTTTTTAGAGTGTATTTTTTATGGTTAGGGGTTAGTGGTTAGGGTTAGGGTTAGAGTATTTTATATTAAACAAGTATAAGTGGGTTATAGAAGGTTAGAAGGTTAAATAGAAAATATAAATTTCATTTTAAATTATGATCTGCGACAATTAATGATCACCATTATATGACCTGCACTATCGCTATGTTTGTAACTAGACTGATGATTGACACCCTAGTACAGTACGTATCTGGTATCCTTGATCTTCAATCTTTGAATGTGAAAATTATTGACCGATTTCATTTAGTTTGATTAAAATATATATTGTGTCTAAAGTTGGCATCTGCCTACAGCTACAACTTTAGGGTTCAATACCAAAATCCAATCTAGAAATAGATGTAGACATAAACTATAGTATTATCCGTTACGCTTCGGATAATTAAATCCGATTAAGGAACGAGCCAATAACAATCTATAAATAATAATAATCCTGTTTTTACTGGGTTAAAGCTATACAATAATCTATATAGACTATCATATGACCAAGTTTAATTGTATTAGTAGTAGTATTTTTAAAATAGACACATATAAGTACGTACGTACGTCAGTTTTTCGGGCAAACTATTTTCCAAATCCAAAACGCTTCGCCCAGAGGAATTTTTAGTTTCGCCCAATTTGTTCTGCAAATGATCTTCAAAATCGGGTTTCGCCCGTGTTACCATGAGCAACCAGTGAATAAAATACGATTTGCGCATGTTCGCTCCGCACATAGAAAAATTTTTTGCGCGCCAAAAATATAATATTGTGCGCAAAGCGCACGCAACTTTTCATTAATTATTTAAAATAATGTGCGCTATATAGTTAGCCTTGTTCTACTGTATCGAATTTTGCGCATATTGAATCTAAAATTTGGTGCGCAACGTGCACCAAATTTTGGCTTAGAAATTTATTCACTGAGATCAACGAGCGTACAGTATATGCACAATTTAACCCTGATGGTTAACGGGTGAAAAATACAGTATATACGAAAAGCATGTGGATGTTATTAATGAAGGGCTTTGAGACATCTCGTAGTCCTTCCTCTTTATTAAGGTCTAAAGAGCATTCTTAAATACATGATTATTGATAATCATTTAATTAGTAATTCGTGAGAGATGGAAAGAACTACTATAGTAATACTATATATACATGAAGGGATATAAAATATAATAAAAACAATTAAGATCTATAATCTGGAGCCGGAATTAAAATTTCTCAATTTCTGCCAAGTTAACATCTTTTGAGTTTCTAACAAAACTTGTAAAGACAATCTTTCTCTTTCTAATTGCGGTAAAATCATCAAAATTGGCCCGATGGGTCACGAGATATTCTTAATTTTGTCTTTGTAGTTATATGAAATTTCTTTGCGAAAATTTTCATATAATCATAAAGGATTATCTTACGATCCATCAGGCCAATTTTGATGATTTTACCACATTAAAAAGAGAAAAATTGCCTTTACAAGTGTAGTTAGAAACACAAAAGATGTTAACTTGACAGAAATTGAGAAATTTTAATTCCGGCTCCAGGCTATAAATTTTAATCGTTTTTATGATTAAGTTGCCCATTTCTATATATAGGGAACCGTTAAAGCCAGGTTCGATCACAAAATTTAATTACATTAAAAAAGGTTAGGGTTATATTAGAGTCCGTATTAGAGTTGTTGGTGAGACTAATTAATTTTACAGGAAACTGGTGCACCATTGAAGACTAGTTTCGCTTGCAACTCTAGTCCGTACAGACCAGCTTTGTAGGTAAAATCGTCTGCCAGATATTTTTTCTTGATGCACAAAGATAGATTTAGACATTCGTTTCTTGTATTTTTCGCATCTTTACTTTTTTTGCTTCGTCGGGATGATTCGTGTAAACAAAAATTCATAATTTTGATTGGTCAAAATCTTGTGATCGAACCTGGCTTTAATGGATCCCTATATATAGAAATTCTTTCCATCTCTCATGAATCACGAATTAAGCATTTACATTCATATTAACAGATCTTGAATGAATGCGATTTCATACTAACTAAATTACAACTCGTGATTATCACCTATTGATCTACATCATAACACCCGAAACACTGACGTGCGTCGTACATACATTGCATGAAATTATCGGAATTTCAAGATTCTAATTCCAATTTAATTTTTAATCCTTACTAAATCAGAATTTCTAAATCTTCGATTTTCCATATGGTACATTGGTTTCCAAAAATCTTGTTTGTAAAAACCATATACAGTTAGTTATATAGAACAAATGTGAACATAAATATACTTCCTAATCATTATGATCAACAAAAAGTGCGTGCGTATGTAATTCTTCATTGATTTCATTAGTTTAAGAAAGATTCGCTTTAATTTGATTATTTTAATATAGAAATCGGGCAATTTTAATTCCTCGTAACGAATACGTTATCAAGTTGCATTTAAAATTATTCAAATTATTCAAAAAAGTTAGGGAATATTTGGCTCACAAAAAAAAAAATATAAAAAGCCTGCCTCATCATTTTAAATCAGTAATAAAAAAAAAATGGCGAAACATCTAATATTAATAATAATTTTGTTCATTAATTTTGTTTTGGTTAGTTCTGAAGAAGCAAATACTACAATTTATAAATCCAATGATCCAGAAATTTTAAATCCAAGCAAAGAAGGAGTTGAACATATTTTTGATTTAATGATTGTTATCCTTCTTTATTTGGTAGCCGAAAAAATTCCTTTAGGAATTGCAGCTGCAATTTTAAATCTTATATTTCAAGTTTTTGTGTGTTTCATGTCTTATTTTTTTCTTATAAGAGCATATAACACAACAAAGGACTATTTTTTTATTCAATATCTTATCATATATTCAGTTTTTATATTAGTTGGTATTTCTAACTATATTTACCGTGCAATATTTACAATTAATCATTTACATAAATATAATAATAATCAAACCGTTAAGCATAGTATTGAGGATCTCAATGGTCCGAAGCTGAGTCCATTGGACCATATGCGTTGTATTTTCTATTTCCAAATCACCATATATACTTCTTTATTTATTGCAAACATGATCTTTTTTAATATAGCTTATCATCGTCATTATGTCTATCATTTAGCTTTTCTTGTTATTTTGCTTCCCTCGATTATTTTCATAGTATTTACAATAATTGAAATAATTTACTCTACAATTTATAAAGGTGAAATAACGGAACTAAGTGGTTTAAAAAAACGGGTCGAAGTACTAGAATCTAAAGAATTTAGCTCTTCACAAGAACGTGTCAAAGCATCAGAACCCAATGAATCTAAAGAATCTAATTCTTCACAAAATAAAAAGCCTGGACAAAGAAACTGCAAGGAATTTTTTGTAGATTTACATGATAAGATGACAAATAGAAGGATGATGAGTATGTTAAATTAGTCTATTTGATTATTTGAATTAAATTTATTTTTTATTTATTAATTCTACTTTTATATATTTCATATTTATAATAGTAAAAGTAGTTGGAATATGCTCACATTTCTTATTTTGTACAATCGCTGCTCCTGATTCATTATGGATAAAAGTTTATCTTTCATGTGTAGCTATTTATGTCACAATAACTGAAAAATTAGATGAAAAACTTATTCTTTTACTGGGAGAAGATTAAAATCTATATTTATAGGTTATATTTTATTTCTATTTTATTTTTACAGTTATACTAAATCACACCACTGGTGTTCAACACCAGTATCAGAATGTGGGTCGGAAAGTTACACGACTATATAAAATTTTATATTTATCATATATAAATACAATAATATACACATTATACTTTTTTATATATAATATATATATATAATACTACGTACGTACGTACTAGAAATGAAATCATTATTATATATATCAGCTTTATACATATAGTTATTAATAAAAATGTGAACCTATTTTTGATATTTTATTTAAGAAATTTAGTAGTTCAAAAAATTTTGCAATTTCATGTAATCTGAGTTTTCAGAGCAAATTTTTGCCCAAATTTTACCAATAAGGCACAGTTGTCGCTCAATTCCTGAAAGCTATTTACTCGCCAACTCTTTTCTCCGTCACCGCAATGCCGACGTGCTATTTCACCTATAGAACTTTTTTTCGATAAAACATACATTCGACATTACATATTTTCGACAATACTTTTCTTTGATAGGACATTTCCCCGATAATCATTTCTTCGACATAAAATTGGCCTGATTTAGCCTGGTTTAGAATTAGTGTTTGTAGAATGATATGTCGGGAAATTATTGTCAGGTAAATGTCTTGTCTAAGAAAAGGATTGTCGAAAAAATGTAATGTCAAACATATGTCTTAGCAAAAAAATGTGCTGTAGATGGAATATCATGTCGGAATTACGATGTCGGGAAAATGAGTTGAGTAAATAGCTTTCGGGGAATCATGCCGTAACCTAAAGCACTAGCTAACCTATGTAAAGTTGCAAATATTGATAGAACCGGGGTTAGACAACTATTCACATAACAATGAAAATTTTTATAATCATTCAATTTATTAATTATTCGAATCACCCTGGTTATATAGATAGCCAGGCTCAAGCTACATGAAATCACAAAATTTTTTGCATCGAACTTACTAAAGAAATTCATCAATCGTTAGTGTTAGAGTTAGATCTAATTTTAATGTAACAAATTAAACCATGATACATCTTACTGTTAGGTGAGTTAGGATGTTCTCAAGCATCTCAATCAAATAATTAAATAATGATCATGATAACGCTCAAGCATCACAATCAATAGATATTTATAAAATTAAATGTTTGGTACACTTCATATCTTTGTTATCTTTAAAAAAAACTTAATAAAAATTGTTTCTATTCAACAAACTGCTGAAGCTTCATCTTCAGTTGTATCAGCTTCATTTTTAATGATTTTATCAATTTAAATTTTTTGTTGCAATAGCAACAGAATCAACTTATTATAGTAAAAGTTGCTTTATATCAAAAAGAATAAGCTTTTTTTTGTTAATAATACAGTATACACAGGTTGAATCAATGAATAACGGGTACATATCGGGAGACAAATCTCCTGGTATATACCCGTTATTCTACCACACATCCGCCAAATAACTGTAGCATATCGGTAGCATATTGGTAACATATAGGTTAGATATCGGGAG